TATCCTGCAGGACATTAAGTAAGGATATGACAAATTTATCGCAATAGCGCCATTTGTTTGTTGAACAGTTGCAAAAATATTCCCATATACATATACAGTGGCAGTGAAGCAAGGCCACATGGGTAACCCAGGGATAACTGGACGACTGAAAACTGCATAGTCAGGACGGAGGGGAATAGAACTGGTGGCGATACTATTTTATTTTCATTGTCGGTTTAGTGTGCCAAACAAATGTTACCACAAATTGATGATACTGGCCTACAACTGTTTGCGACCTAAGATGAGGGGAGTTTTGGCAGAATGTGATTGCGAGAGTTTCTGTAATTTAAAATTTTAATGCCACTGCTTTTTCCTCAGGGTACATCTGAGAAGGTGACAGGTGCAATTCCTAAAAATGTGAATTTATTCCGCAAAAATATCCAAACAAAATTCATAAATAATGTAAACTAAAGCAAATGAGACAAAAAACTAAAATTTGTTTGGATTTGGCAAAAAAAACATTTCAAATAGGAAATGGGATTCTAATCATAATATGATTAAATGTAAAATACCTACTCTATTCTTGTGCACTCGAATATATTTCCGATTACTCACAACTCTTAAATTTATTATTAAACATTTCAATGGATTTTTTTTGCAAAAATGTTGTTTATCATATATGCATGCGTGTATGTGTTTTTGTTTGTCTCTGTTCTAGGGCAAAATAACTGATGAATATTTTTGAACAAAATGCACTGAACCTAAAATAATGTCTGTGAATTTCAACACATGTAAATTCTCTTGCTTTTTGCAATGGAAATTTATAAATGGATGTTGGCCAATATAAAATAAAACAAATAAATAAGCAAATGAATGCAAAGTTGGACAGAGTTGACTATTTGACACCCTATACCATGTTGGGATGCGGCAAATTACATTAAATAAAAGTAGTTCACTTCTGTCGATTCAAAATACGTTATTTAAATGCGTTAAAAATTGTTTATTGAAAAAAAAATAAAAATATAACAAGTGATAAAAGCGACGGGCCACCATAATGGAGCGATGAAAATTTTCATTGCAGAAAAAAAAAACATTTTTTGTATGCGTACGTCCCTGGAGGCTATACCTAAAGCGGGAACAATATTGATTATATTGTGTAGGAATTACCGAACATTTGGAATGATTACAACAGATAGCTAAATCGTCTTAGAATTCCAATATCTCCCATACAAACTCGAGTATGGGAGATATTCTATCCCATACTATGGTGGAATATGGCTACATCCCCAAAATGCGGAACAAATTAGTTAACTATTTTAAATTAAACAAGTGAAAAAAGCGTTAAGTTCGGCCAGACCGAACTTTGGATACCAAAAAGTGGACCAGCAATTCTACAAACCGATTTATGTAAACCATTTTTTTAATAATTTTTGTTAGGGAGATTTTTGCCATATACGACTACAAAATACCAAATTACAGCGAATTTGATTGAAAAACACGCTCAAGAGCCCCAAAATACCGAACATTTGGAGGGTACCCTTATATGGGGGCTAAAAAAATAAATAAATTAACCTATATTTATAATTGTTGGTTGGTTTTTGTTTCTCCTGGAAAGATATGAAACTGGGACTTATTTCTTTACACGTTAAGCCATCGATATGTTAGACATAGACACATAGTTAGAGATAGACACATAGTTAGAGATAGACACATAGTTCTTTTTGAGAATATGCATATAATCACTTTCTGAATTGATTTATGCCTGTCCGTCCGCCCGTCTGTCCATGTATTCCATTGTCCATAAACAAAGTACAGGTCGCATATATGATCCGATTTGGATGAAATTTGGCACAAGCCACTTATTTGTCCTAAGGACGAATCCTATGGGAGAAAATCAGTTCAGATTTAGATATAGCTCCCATATATAGTTTCGTCTGATTTAATATAAATGGTGCACCAAACTCACAATATTTGACCGATTGAGACAGAATTTTGCACAGCGTACTGAAATACTTTCTTAACTGGCTTGTTACAGAACGGTTGTTCCATAAGGCGAGCTTAAAAATTGATTATCAAGCGCATCGGTCTTGTGCGCATCTCTTCCAATTTGAAAGAGAATGTTCCGAGATGTTGTCTTCTACTTGGTCTTTCCATCTAATTCGTGGCCTTTGAGCGAGCCATCAGTAGGCTCGCATTTATTGCAATTTGAGCTGGGGCATTCTCGCTGCACCTCAATACGACTGACAATGTCTATGTCTGTGTATAGATTGTAAAGCTTGTGGTTTATTCGACGCCGATATTCACCGTCGACGCAGATTGGTCCCTAGATCTTTTGGAGAATTTTTCTTTTAAACACCCCAAGAGCTGCCTCATCTGTTTACGCAAGTACTCATGTTTCAGATCCATATAACAGCACTGGTAGTGTCTTGTATAGTGTGAGTTTGGTCTGATGGGAGGTGCCCTTGTTTCTAAACTGCTTACTTAGACCATAGTAGCATCTGTTAGCCAACACTATCCTTCTCCGAATTACAAAACCTATGTTATTAGTTTTATTTGTGGCGGTACCAAGGTATATAAAATCTTTAACGCAAACGATATCGATATAACGGTAGGAGCGAAGTAGTCTGTCAAAGTGGGAGTAAATGGCGAGAAGTCCAAGCTGATGGTATAAACGATCAAGACGTCCAGTGGACTCGGACCAACTGTGGAACTTGAGAACTACAGCTTCGAGGTAGTAGTTAGCAGCAGCAAATTCAAGTATCTCGATATACACAAGTCCACCTGGATTTCTCCCGATCAAACAACGAGAAATCAAATTGATACTGTTGTGATAGTCTTCGGTCGAGGAGCGAATATCGATGCGGACAACTTCCTTATAGCAGTCAAAGTTCGCACTCGTCTTAATGTAGCAACAAAAGTGCGATCTAACACAACACGAAAACTCGACGTCGAAAAGCTGCAATCACAACAGGTAATAAAGGCCTATTCCGCTCAAATTACCCAACTGCTTGACGAAAGCACTTTTTGTCCGATAATAGTATAGAAGCACAATTGCAGAGAATTGCCCACTCCCTACAAACTGCAGAAAAAGGGGAACACTGCAGACAGTAACAACACATCTTGCTATTGAGAATTATCGGGAGTAAAGGAGAAGCATATTTTCTGAAGACAGAAGAAAGAACAAGAAAAATTTGAACAAATCGAGATGTACAGGAGTCAGAATGAAGCCGGAAATTTTGCCAACGAGTAAAACATCAAACCGAAGGCTTTGGTGCAGGCACATATTCCTGTAGAAATGAAAAAGGAAACCTGGTGACAGATACAGACAGCGTGTTGAGGATCTGGAAGGAGCATTTTGAACAACTTCTGGTATCAAATAGTGGCGGTGAAGAAGATACCCCAGAACCAATAAGAGATGGCGGTATAGTATAGTGTATACCATATAGCCAAGATGAGGTTAGAATAGCAATCAATCGGCTGAAGAACAATAAAGAAGCAGGAGCCGATGGGCAGCTGAACTATTCAAGACTGGTGGTCAGATGCTGCTTAGGAGCATGCACTAGCTGATTAGTAAAATTTGGCTAGAGGAATGCATGCCCACTGATTGGAACCTCAGCATCCTGTGCTCCGTGCACAAAAAAGAAGACAAGACGATATGTGCCAACTATAGAGGAATTAGTCCTCTTCCCATCGCATATAAAGTGCTATCCAGTGTACTGTGTTAACGACTGAAGCCAATGGCCAATGACATTATTGAACCATACCAATGCGGCTTCAGACCTGACAAATCCTCAATTGACCAGATTTTCACTCTACGTCAATTCCTGGAAAAGACCCCCGAAAAAAACATCGACATATTCCACCTATTCGTCGACGATAAAGCCGCATTCGACAGCCCTATCCGTTCAGAGGTGTTTAAAGCCATGTTTGCGTTCGGCACTCCAGCAAAAGTCAATACCGAAGGAGGATTCAGACAAGGTGATAATGTGATTTTTTTTTCAACATCCCGCGGGAAAAAGTCATACGATACGCAAAGGTAAACAACATTCGCCTACGCAAACGATATCGATATAACGGTAGGAGCGAAGTAGTCTGTCAAAGTGGGAGTAAATGGCGAGAAGTCCAAGCTGCCGCGAAGTCAATCAACCTGATACCGTGGTCGGATGTTTCTTTGTGGAGGCTGATGTTTCAGATGGTGGGGCCAGAAATATTTTCCCTTCCGATTTTTGCAGAATTTTACTGTCATGGTCAGACGCCCGACGCCTCAACCCTTTTTTATAGTTCTTAAGGGTGAACTCGGGGCACATATCAGCTCTCTATTTCAACGGGTGATGAAAATAGCTACACCAGGTGACACCGTGTGCCAGTGTCCACAATTAAGATGAAAGCATTTAACGTTTCAAATTACAACTGTAACATCATATATCGTAAATTTTGGTGTTATCTCCTCGGATCGGGGCATTCTTATACCATGGAGCACACATATTTTTGCCTGCCGTATAAATGATATACTAGGAGACCATCCTTAACAGCAGAAGATAATCTACTACTACACAGGCATTTGTAGTGGGGACATTAGTAGGTGGACACAATACCGAACAAATGCCCAGCAAGTGGACTAAGGCCACACGACACGCTGAATTTATTCAATTGTAGAGCTGAATTCGGACACAGAAGAGTGAGGATAGATCAACACTTGCTAAATCGACATGGAGTTTTATTCCGATGAAGAATATACATTATTGTACAATGTGATGCTAGATAATTAGTTCCATTTATTAATAATAAAATAAAAAACAAGAACATTTTAATTAATCTTTTTTTATTTCCATTTAAGTATAGAACATGGATATTTGTTTAACAAAAAACATAGAACAATTTCAAAAACAAGAAGACGAATACAGGGTATTATAATTTATGTTTATTATAAACGAAATTTTAAATGCAGAATTACATTAAAGCATAGTAGTAATAAAAAATAATTTCATAACATATTAGTTGTGCTAAGTTGGAACATCTCTTTATTTTCTTGCTTCTTCATAATGTTGAATATACCAATCGACAGACGTTTTTATGGCCTCTTCAAAATCGGTAAATTTAAAGTCTGGTAAAAATGAGCGCAATTTTTTATTGGAAGCTGTCTTCTTGTATTGTCCATCGGCTTTCGTTGTATCACATTCAAGTTTTCCCTTAAAGTTAAATGCCTTTGCTATGGCCTTAGCAACATCGTAAATAGTAACTTCCTGCTCCTCGTCTACACTTAAAATAATGGGTTCAACACTTTCATAATTTCTCAACACCCATATCATTAACTTAGCCAAATCAATACTGTAAATAAATTGTCTTAATGGTTTACCGGAACCAAACACCCTGAATGTTTTCTCTTCTTCGGCGATTTCTGGATTTTCTTGCATTAATTTGTGCATACGATATATCATACCGGGTATAACATGACTAACATTCGGTTTGTAATTATCGTTTGGTCCAAAAATATTACACGGAATGACTGAAGTAAACATACAACCATATTTATCGTAATAGGCATGATTTTGTATGTCAATTAAACGCTTGGCATACGAGTAACCGTAGTTGGAGGAATGTGGTGGTCCATTATGTACCATAGTCTCATCAATGGGATATTCTGTTTTGTCAGGGAAAATACAGGTGCTGAGACAGGAAACAACTTTTTCACATCCATGTGCGTGGGCGGCTTGTAAAACGTTGTCATTTATTTGAATATTAATACGCTGTAAAAATAGGAGGAAATTCATATGAGCTTTTATTATAATAAATGTATCAATATATGATTTATAATGAAGATGGCGTTAAGTGAGTGGACGAGCTGGACAATAGAAGAAGTGTAGCGTATTATCACATACTGGTCCGATTTTATGTAAGGTGGTTCTATGTTATATGGGGCAGGTTGTTGTCGGTGGAGGATTGTATTGAATCCTTATTCTTGAATTGCTTTATCTACATCAGTATGTATTAAATTCCACAATACTTATCGAGGGGCCCTGTTTTGTACCTTTGATTTCACTCCCACTAGGTCATGAAAATCCTTTCTGATGTGCCCGGTCGGTGGACGCATATTTATTTGGTGAAGATTTGGATTTCTGTTTCTATAGGACCGGAACCAAATTATAGACAAATCAACCAACACATTCAATGGCAGCCCCATCTCCGCCGACCAAGTGTAGAAGAGATCGGTAGGTGTTCATCGTTTTAAATATGCCCTCTTACTTTAAACCTTTTTCTGTTTATGTCCCGTATAATCTGTGCTCTTCCAGAATAATTTCCCTTATTCTCTTCTGGAAAAAAAGTCTCTCCTCGAATATTCAACCAGGAACATGGAACTGTCGATTTGCTCTGCTAGATCTTTGTAATTCGATGACGAGCCCTTACGACGAAATTTTACCTTTTTCGCTACACGTTTGCAAATGCCCTCATCTGAAACTTTTTTCTCAGTGTAATATATAACTTCAGTAGTGTTGGCGGTTTATTTGGGATACCATTTGTATTTTGTTTTTGCAAAATAGTCAGGCTGAATCCCAGTTTGTTGTTTTTATAAAAAAAAACCAGTAAGGAAAGTAGTAAAGTCGGACGGGGCCGACTATATGATACCCTTCACCACTATGGGTATATTAAACAGGACTATTAGCATGAAATTGGATGAAATAAAATATGTGATATTTATCTAAATGTTAATCTACGTAGATCTATCCATAAAGTATGTAAATCGACTTCAAACAAATATAAATGGGTCATCCGTTGGGCTATGTCTGTACTTCTAGAAAACGCAACTACATAATTCTATGCTCAATTTTGTACGTTGTGCAAAATTTGATGTCAAACTGACTAACATGAGGAGTTTGATGCCCAATTTACTTGAAATCGGGCGAAAATATATTTGGAAGCTCTATCCAAATATTAAGCGATTTCAAACAAACTAGTGACAGGATAGGTTATACTAATTTCAGAACGTTTTGTTCCTATTGGTTCTTGGTGCGTCAATTACTTAAAATCAATCTATAATAAAAGGGAGCTATATCTAAATCTGGACCGATTTTCACGAAACAACGCAGACATCACTCTAGGCTCAATTCAGTACGTTATGCCAAATTTTGTGCAAAACGAAAGATATATAGGGACTTTGGTGCAACATTTACATGAAATCGGACGAAACTATATGTGGGAGCTATATAGAAATCTGGACTGATTTTCTCGAAACTTGGCAGACATCATTCTAGACTCAATTCAGTAAGTTATGCCAAATTTCGTGCAAATCGAAGGATATATAGGGACTTTGGTGCACCATTTACATGAAATCGGACGAAACTATATATGGGAGCTATATGTAAATCTTGACCTATTTTCACGAAACTTGGCAGACATCATTCTAGGCCTAAATGATTAGGCTGTACCAAATTTCGTGCAAATCAAAAGATATATAGGGACTTTGGGGCACCATTTACATGAAATCGGACGAAACTATATATGGAAGATATATCTAAATCAGGACCGATTTTCATGAAACTTGGCAGACATCATTCTGGGCTCAATTAAGTACGTTATGCCACATTTCGTGCAACTCGAAGGATATATAGGGACTTTGGTGCACCATTTACATGTAATCGGACGAAACTATATATGGGAGCTATATCTAAATCTGGACCGATTTTCTCGAAACTTGGCAGACATCATTCTGGGCTCAATTAAGTACGTTATGCCAAATTTCGTGCAAATCGAAGGATATATAGGGACTTTGGTGCACCATTTACATGTAATCGGACGAAGCTATATATGGGAGCTATATCTAAATCTGGACCGATTTTGTCGAAACTTGGCTGACATCATTCTAGCCTCAGTTCAGTACGTTATACCAAATTTCGTGGAAATCGAAAGATATATAAGAACATTAGGGCACCATTTACATGAAATCAGACGAAACTATATATGGGAGCTATATCTTAATCTGGACCGATTTTCTCGAAACTTGGCAGACATCATTCTGGGCTCAATTAAGTACGTTATGCCAAATTTCGTGCAAATCGAAGGATATATACGGGCTTTGGTGCACCATTTACATGTAATCGGACGAAGCTATATATGGGAGCTATATCTAAATCTGGACCGATTTTCACGAAACTTGGCAGACGTCATACTAGGCTCAATTCAGTACGTTATACAAAATTTCGTGCAAATCGAAAGATATATAAGAACATTAGGGCACCATTTACATGAAATCGGACGAAACTATATATGGGAGCTATATCTAAATCTGGACCGATTTTCACGAAAATTGGCAGATGTCACTCTAGGCTTAATTCAGTACGTTATGCCAAATTTCGTGCAAATCAAAAGATATATAGGGACTTTGGGGCACCATTTATATGAAATCGGACGAAACTATATATGGGAGCTATATCTAAATCTGGACCGATTTTCACGAAACTTGGCAGACAACACTCTAGGCTTAATTCAGTACGTTATGCCAAATTTCGTGCAAATAAAAAGATATATAGGGACTTTGGGGCACCATTTACATGAAATCGGACGAAACTATATATGGGAGCTATATCTAAATCTGGACCGATTTTCACGAAAATTGGCAGACATCATTATAGGCCTAAATTATTAGCCTGTACCAAATTTCGTGTAAATCGAAAGATATATAGGGACCGTTTACATTAAATCGGTTAAATATATATATGGGAGCTATATCTAAATCTGAACCGATTTTTCCCAATTTCAATAGGGTTCGTCCTTGGGCCGAATAAGTGACCTATGCCAAATTTCATCCAATTCGGATCATAAATGCGACCTGTACTTTGTTTACAATTTAACATGGACAGACAGACAGACGGACGGACATGCATAAATCGACTTAGAAAGTGATTCTATGCATATTCTCAAACGAACCATGGGTCTATCTCAATTATTTTTGCCTGTTACAAACATATGCACAAAGACATAATACCCTGTACCACAGCGTGGTGAAGGGTAGAACAACTATTTATTAATGGGGAATGTATGGCATTGTTTGCCGAGGGATGCAGCAGGGAAGACTATAGTTTCGGATCACGCCACTGATCCTCATCAGTTCCCTTAGTTTTTTGTTGGGATATTCTCCCCAGAAGCTATTGTTAACCTCGAAGTGAGGCACCAGCGAAATTCTCATGCAGTTTATGTCGTGGGCCAGCTAAGTACTTCGTTTTGTTACAAGAGACATTTGGGTATGAAAGGTTTTTTGTATAGAAGCAATAGCTTCTGGGGAGAATATTCCAACAAAAAACTAAGGGAACTGATGAGGATCAGTGGCATGATCCGAAACTATAGTCTTCCCTGCCTTACCCATCGGCAAACAATGCCATACATTCCACACTAATAAATAGTTGTTTTTTATAAAAACAACAAACTGGGATTCAGCCTGACTATTTTGCAGAAACAAAATGTAATATATAACTTCATATTGGAAAATGTCTATTTCACTCGCAATTGCGGAACAACTCTAGTTTAGTAAAAACGATCAGATTTTTCTGAAAATTTTTCCAGAGGTAGGTCTTTTTACCCTAATTATGGGGATATCTTTTTTTCTTGGGGGACGTACCTGGTTACCCGGTTAATTGACCCGGAAGTTCGGGTACGGGTACCCGGTTATATCCGGTTCTACGGATCCGGTTGATATAATATGGGTATCATTTTAAAGGTTATAAAAATACCTTTCCATTGAGTAATATGATGGGTTATCTCAAACCATTTTGGAGATATTGTCAAAAAACTGGGTTTTGGTCCCCATTTTTTTTTTTTTTTTTTTGAAAAACTCCCTAAAAGTCGAACTTGGGTCCATTATAGTCCCTCTCCATCCCAGACTCAAATGATAGTCCACGATTTGCCCTTTCCAAAATGGTACGATATGTGGCTGTATCTGTTGTGGATCAAAAGACATGGGCCTTAGAACCCTATAAAAAACAATCTGATCGTTTTTACTAAACTAGAGTTAAGCCTCCATTGCTGTATATTGGAAGACATCTCTATATTAACATCTGTTTCCATTATTTCTATTATTGGATTCCGTAATAAATTGCTATTATCCAACACAGCACACCCACCCACTTCCCCCACAGCAGACATTTGGAAAAATAACAAAACACTCCAACACTTACCAAAAAATCCAAATTATTGTTCATGTTGTGGAACAGGCCACCAACCATTGCAGCCAAATGAATAACACAATTTGGCTTTACCCTCTCGAATAACGCCTTGGTGGCACTTTCATCGGTTAAGTTACAATCCTTGGAGCCGGCAAAATACCATTCTTCTTCGGCACATTTCTCCTGGGCAACAACATCCTGTAATGCTTTGCCCACCAAACCGGTGCCGCCAGTAACCAGAATTTTACGCATTTCTAAAAGATAAAATATATATTAAAATAATTTATTTATTTTTCTAAAAAAAATATGAAAGTGCCAACCTCAACAAGTTGTTTCTATTTTGGTGCGAAGGAATTATAAAAGCAAATTAACTGATAAAGAAGAGAACAATAACAAAACGGTCGAAGGTGAATAGGGTTCTATTAGAAAGAAAATGACTAAATCGAAATAGGAATTTATAAGTTCGACAATTTAATGAATTATCGATTAATTTAAGTGTGTTATGTCATGTTCACATCAAATGTATTTAAAGGGAAAATATATATTGTTTGTATTCAAAAAATGGCGAATTTTTAGAAATGTATGAAATGTATGAAATGAAAAACGAATTTATAGCCACCCGGATTTATTCTTGCGTTTCCATATTGTTCAGTTAGTTTGAGCATTCAAATTGAATTGAAATGTGTAAAATTCATTTATACATCTCCAATTTGTATGCCAAATACTACATTCTCATTTTAAATAACATACACTTGAAGTGAAAACGTGTCTACGTGTCCAATAAATATACCATGTATTGTTTTGAATACCATGCCAAATAAATTCAAATTTAATTGAAATAAAAATGATTTTCACAGCGTTCGTTTGTTCGTTGTAATTACTTTTTTATGGATTTAACAAACATTTCACGTTATTCCGTAATGGATTGTAGGGAGAAATCATAACCTTTAATTTTTCGCGTTTTTAGTTTTGTGTTGGAAAAATGTCACATAAACAAACCAGTTTATTTCATATTTGACAGAAGAAGCCACCACCTACATAGTCGCTCTTTGTTATTCACCTCAAGCTGTCCTACCTTGTATTGTTGTACCATGGTTTACTGTTTAAAATAGTTCTCAGAAAACAACACCATCTGATATTTGGTATTTAAAGCAAAGATAGTTCGGCAGCATCAGAGAGTAATAGATATCCCGTGAAAACATTGTCAGTTAATTCAAGTCAACCCAATTGTTGATATTTTGACAGATCTATATGAATTCTTTATCTTGGGAGATAGATAGCCGCAATTAAAATGTCTCGAATATCTTCATTTACTCAGACGCACAGTGGGCTAGAGTACCATGTTTTCTTGGATCAAATCAGGGAAGCTATGTTAGAATAATTTTTCTTTATTTTTCAGTTAATACCATTAAAATAAGTTAAAAAAATGTTTTCTAAGTATATTTGAGTATAATTTTATTAAGTAGTGCCAAATATCAGTGTAGGTATATAGTGCAAGGAGTACAATATGATAACTTAAGCATTGAATTTTATACATCTTAAAGTTAATCATCCACATCGTCATCATCCGCAGCCAGGGATGGTCCGTATGACGAATTTTCAGGTTTTCGACTGTCAAAAAGGTGTAAACGTCGTACCTGTATAAAATGTAGTAAACGTCATTTATTTCAATATTATCACCATATACAAGAACATATATTATTTTTACTGTATATCTGGCTATTCTTTACTGGAACTGATAAAAAATTCTGAATTTTTTTAAGAAAAAAATTTTGATATTCGATATGAATTTGAGTAAAGCATACGTTATTTCCATATCGATAAATGTAAATAGCTATTTTATAAAAAACATAATGGTTTTGAGTGCGTTTCCGACGTTTCTGACGTATGTATTATACGTCGGAAATGTATGTCATTTACGTCACTGTTTCTGACAGGCCATCTCTGTCCGCAGCATCACCAACTTCTGATGATTGCTCAATATGTAAAGGGGCATTTGACACAATTTCGGGTCCGTGAATAAAAAACTTGTGCAAAGTGGTAGGCATATTATACCAAGGATACGTTTCAACAAAAAGTCGTCCTGTATTGTGTGCATATATTTGAAATTTTTCATTATTAATCTCATGGCCACTGGATACAGCTATAACCGACACGTGCATTTTTATTAAATTAACATATATTTTTGTTATTTCGGCAGATTTTTTTTAGCGTTTTGGTGCGTTTTTTTGATTTCTTTAGCTAAAAATGTCATCTTGTCATTCATTGTTTGAGCGCTCGAATTCATCATAAGCTTCGACGATTATAAAAAACAACGTTCGAACTTGTACCTATAAAACAATGTTAATAAAGAACCCTTTTACCCGACTACTTGAAACTGCACAACACAATCACTATTTGTCAAAACAATGAATATTATTAAAATAAACAAAAATAAAATATTTTTGTAACAAAGAATATTATTAAAAAAAAAAAACAAAAATAACAACAATAAAATAATTAGAAAAAATAACATGAAAAAGAAGAAAACACAACACTCAACAACAGCACCAGCCACGAGATCAATGTGACTTTTAGCTAATTTGACTGCTGCAAAACTTGTATTAAACAATGCATAGCTTCTAAAAGGCACAAAAGGGCAGCGTAAAATTTTGCAATACAACACAGATTTATGTCCTCTTTAATATAAACCAAAAATTATGACACTAATGTGGACGAATAATAACTATTTATCCATTTAAAATATAAAAATATTAATTTTTTTGGCTTTTTCAATATAAATAACTAAATCTTAATCACTTCCAAACACAATTTCATACTCAAATGTTAGCGAAGTATTTGCAAAATAACATAAACTTCATGGTTCCATTGAAAAATGTTTAACTTTTACAATACTTATTAAAATAAATAAAATTTTCAACGGGAACGTTTTCACTTTTTTCAGCCTTTTTTGGCACAAAAATTTCTATGAAGTTTGACTTTGAAGTTTCACTACAAAAATGTAGATGTAGAATTTTATATACTTTAACCGTGTGCAAAAATTTTTAACGATACTTAAAATTTAATTTTTTAATTAATCCAAGGAAACAGGGTATTCTAACCCACTGTGAGACGTTTAAATAAATTTTGGAACAGACCAGAGCTCTCCTTGAACCGAGTATAGAAAATTAAGCACAATTGTATTTGTTCAGTACATTTTTCAGTACCATTTTAATCGTTCATCCAGTATAGACTTAATTCATTGAAAATGCTCTTTTAATAAAATTGATTACCAAAGAAAAACAGAATTTTTAATTCTCAATATGGAGCTTTGTAAGATCAGTGACTTTTGACATAAAAACCTTTAAGACCCGTTCCGTGGACGTTTTGAAATTTTTTACAATAAGTAGGGCCTGATTATAACGGTTTCCTTGCCGAAATCCATACTTGCGGATATATAATTCTCTAAGCAATATGAATATACATTTAAGGAGGTTGAAGGCTGGATTACAGTCAATACATCCTGAGATATAGAATTTGTTCCATGAACAAGAAAAATTATATTTCAGTTTAAAATGTAATATTTTGGAATTCACAAAATGAAATTGAAAAACCTGAATAAATGTCTATGAAATTTATATTTCTATTACCAATAATATGAGAAACACATATGAAAATGCTGGAACTTGCGAGTTATTCCATGAAGAAAGATTTGTTTTCTCAAACATTCCCAGGAGGCAGATTAAGTAAATTGAAAACGATTTTCAATTTACTTAAGGGAACCCCCATTCTCGATTTTAATTTTTCAAGATTTTCAATGGGCTGGTAAATCAATATCAATGCTTGTTACGGTTTGTAACTTTGCACATATATATTTGAAGATTTAAAAGAGAAGAAAAATAATTTACAAAAAATTTTTGTTATTGTTTTGTTGTCGTTTTTTTGTAATTAAAGAAAAGTCCTTATTTTTGATGGCGGGCATGATAACTCCTCACTGGAAAATTGGAATCCGAAAATTCCAACGGTGTTAGAAAGAGTAGATGTCTAGCTCTAGTATGAACTAGGATTATTGACTTCGATCTAAAATTAACAAAATGGCGGACCTTTGAAAAAATCTTTTTTTGAAAATTGCCGATTTTTGACCAAAAACCACGTTAAAAAATAAGGAAGATTTTCACCGATTGGCTTTATCCTAGTTCATACGAGAGCTATACACTACCAGAGAAACGATGCAAAATTTGGAACCGATTGGATTATTAGTTTTTGAGTTATCGTGCCCGCCATTCGCAAAAAAATGTTTAGAGAAAAACGCGTTTAAAATTTGAGAAGCCCTTCAGCCGTCACTTGATGCTGACACAATAAATCGGCTATATCTTCAAGAGTTCTTGAGATTTTCACTAGAAATTTTGTAGAGACATTCTTTAGTCAGTGTAGATTCGAATTATATCAACAAAAATTTTGACCCCGAGAATGGGGGGGGGGGTCCCCTTAAAAGCAAAATGTATTGTGTGAATAAGAGAGCAAACTCGTACTCAATAAATGGTGAAACTTTGTAAATTTATAGCTATCCGAATTTATTCTTGCATTTTGTTACTGCAAATTAGTCAGGCCTAATCCCAGTTTGTTGTACTATAGTTTCGGATTACATGATATCGAAGAAAATAGTAGAAATTAGTAGATTATTTCAGTACGGGAAATAGTTTTCGAATTAATTATATGAAACTCCATAAAATATATTGCCTGTTCCCGTACTGCATGAAACTACTACTTTTTACTACGATAACGAATTTCCGTTCTGCTATCGAAGAAAATAGTAAAATCTAGCAGATTCTTGCAGAACGGTTATATAAATGGTATGTTCCTGAAACTGCAAGAATGTACAACTTTTTACTCCGATAACAATTTGTCCCTTATGATATTGAAGAAAATAGTAAAAAATTGTAGATTATGGTAGTAGGGCAATAGATGAAAAGTCATATAAAAATGAAGAATTTCTTTTTCCCCAACCTAATATTAGGAAAGTTTCGAGTTAAAGAGAGGAGGTGGTCGGAAACCAAAAATTAATAAGCGCATGGATACTTGCGAGGAACTTCGAGGTGTTAAAGTTTGTCACGAACAGACTATATTAAAAAACAAATACTCAGCATGAGGAGCACGAAAAGAATTCTTATTATTTACAGCAAATACATACAAAAGGTTTTCATTCGTCAATATTTTACGAAGAAATCGGAGTATGGTGCAAGCCTTTAAAACCCTAGAAAGACAGAACGTCATCC